TCTTTTTTCTTTTTCTTTCTCTGCGTTGTCTATATTTTTTCAGTTTTTTTTTTTTTTTCTTTGTTTGGCTACTTTGTGTGATACCTCATCTCGCATTGCACTCCATTTGTTTTTCCCTCCCGCTGCTGGCCCGCAGCCTCCCACCCCTCTGGGCATTCGTGGCAGCGGGTGTGGGTGTGCGTGCGGTGGTGACTGGGCCTGGGCGATCTGCGGCGCCCTCGCCTCCCCCTTCTCCCCTCCCGCCCCGCCCCGCCCCGGCACACACACACACACACACACTTCTCACCTTTCTGCATTGCCGCCCACGACGACTGTTTTTGTGTTCCTCCGCCTTTTCTTCACGGCGCGCAACCCATCCATGCGCCGCTCTGCGCCTTGCTAGTTACGCGGTGGAACACACATACGCACCTGCGGACTACGCGTGGGCCCGATTAGATTCCCCCTAGCGGCAGCCCCACGAGCGCAGGCAAAGACATGTCCTTTGGAGGTAGCATCCAACAGGGGCGCGTCACCCTCACGCTGCACCGCGCGGAGTCCCTCGTCGCTCTCAACACGGACGGCAGCTCGGACCCCTACGTGACGGCCACGATTGGCCAGCAGACGCAGGCAACCGCCGTGGTTCGCGGAACAACGAACCCGTCGTTTGACGCCACCCTCACCTTCACCGCCTGCCCCTTGCCGACCATTCTGACGCTGCGGGTGCTCAACAAGGCAACGCAGGGCGGGACGGACGAGCTGCTCGGCAGCGCCACCCTGACACTCTTCTCGGCCCTGCCAATGACCCGCCGCACGCTGCCGCTCGGGCACGGCGGTAACGTTGCGCTCTCGCAAAAGGCTCGTGATGGCTGCGGCTCACTGGAAATATCGTACGAGGTTGCCATCGTGACACCGGGCGAGGTGGCGGCGCAGACCCAACAGAGTGCGGCCAACGACGACCTTCCAGAGTTTTTGCGCGACGATAGTGGACCCGGGAAGCTCACCTCGGCGTACGCTGCGTTAGAAAAACACGAGCCCGCGGCCGCGCCACAATGGGCGTTTCCAACTTCCCTCGGTGGGCCTCTTGAAGTTCCGCAGGTGTCACAGCCACCGCAGCCGGTGCAGCCTGTACCCGCGCAACCGCCGCAGCTTTCGTTGGTGTCCGCCGCAACACAACCGCCACCTCTGCAGCAGCCAAGCGCCGCCGGTGCGCCGAATGGGGTACTTGGGGTGGTTGCGACCCAGCCTTCTCTGCATAATTCCAGTGAGCGTGTGACGCCGCAGAACCCTGTTATGATTGCCTCACTGCCGCCGTCGTCGGTGGTGCCGATGCAGCAGTTGCCCGCCAATCCGTCCTTTTCTGTCGCCAGAAGTGTGGAATCGCTAAAGATGCCCGGCTTTTCAAGCGGTCAATACCCTGTCGCCGCTAATAGTCCGGTTATTCCCGCTGCGCAGTCATTGCATGTTATGCAGCCATGCGTGCACGGCACCGCGGCGGTAGATGATGCTGGAAATGTACAGCAGGTGGGAAGTGCAAGTGGCGCCATGGCGGGGGGAGGTGGCTCGCGGCAGGTGCCGCCTCCCCCGTCACAGCCAACCGTCCGATTCACGCCAGTGGCAACGCCCCCTTCAGTGAACGGCAGTCTGACGCCTAACTCGACCTTCGCCTCGTCCTCTACTCCCACTCCTAGTTGTACTCGACCCCAACAGGAGGCTCCTGTGCAGCTTCGGCAGCAGCAAGGGGCCGTGAATTCTTTGCTCCCCGCGGCAACTGCTGGAGTGCCACCGCCGCCACCGCCGCCGCCGCCGCCGCCACCAGCACCAGCACCACCATCAGTAACGGCGCCGTCAGGCACCGTTACGGGGGCAGGAGCTGCACCCACGGCCGCACCGACCACCACGACTGCCGCGGGGGGGAATGATGCAAAGCCTAAAAAAAAAGTGACTGTCATGGCGTACGTGAAGGAGCGCAGTGGGAGTGCTGCAGCGTCGCCGCCCTCGACGGCGACGACGACTAATACCTCAGCCACGAAAAGGGCAGCGGTGAAGGCCGTACCCCTGGCTGATCGTGGGCCCCACCGCACGGCTGCAATTTCCATGCGGGATAACCGTCGCTCTTTGTCTGCCGGTGGCACACGTTCCTCCTCTCGCGGACGCACGCCAGCCGCGGCGGCGGCGGCGGCGCTTGGCACCGCCCACAGCTCCCTCGCGTTGTACCAGTGGCCTGACGAGCTTCTTGCGGCTGCTGCGGAGGGGAACACGGCCTTGTTCCAAAAGCTTCGCGATGATGATCCGCTGCTGTCGCGTGGTTTTGAGAATGTGCGAGACTACTCAGGCCGCACCATCTTGCACATTGCCGCGTGGTACGGCCACACGGATGTTCTCAAGATACTCTTGCAGGCCTCGCCGTCGGTGCCAATAATAGAGCTACGGGCCCTGCGCTCCCACAACGGCAACACCATTTTGCACAGCGCGGCGCAGGGCGGTCGGGCGGAGGTTGTGCAGTGGCTGCGTTTTGGGCACCCGGCTACAGGGGCGCTGGTTGGGCTGCGCAACGTGCACGGCTTCACCGCCACGGACTGCGCCCGCGAGGCTGGCTTTACAAACGTTGCAGCGATGCTTGACGAGTCGTAGCACAGTGCGGCATGCATCCTCCCTCTTCCCTCGCCCACAACTTGGGCGAACTCAGCGAGGGAGGGAGAGGGGGGGGGGGGAAGCGGCGATGTAAAACAACGAGGAAAGCAACAAGTGGGCACAGTTATGTATTACGACGAAGATGATTGACACATTTGTGATGGCGCTAATGTGATTTAGATGAAGGGGGTGGGAGGGAGTGTTGTGCGCGGCGGAAGCCCTGGCTTGCGCCGTTCTGTGCACGCCGCATCCCTGTGCTCTCTTTTTCCGCGTGCGTGACGCAAAATAAAGAAATCTTTGGGCTGAAGCGGGGGATGCGGCCCCGCGGCGGCGGGGCGGCGAAAGGGCGCCCGGACCGACAGAAGACGACGAATCGTTGGAAGACGTGAAAACGGAATTAGCGGAGACATATTGAGGGAAAAAGGGGGACGGGGAGAAAGTGCCCATGCATCTGTGTGCCCTATGGATCTGTGGCATGCGCCGTAGCTCAGCAGACATACCAAAAATTTTTATCCTTGCCTACATGCTGATGGCGCGGTGGTAGGAGGAGTAAAACATTCTGCTTCTCTTTCAGCACTCACGTGTTGAGTTATTGTTATTTTTAGTACTTATTTTTTTTTTACGTTACTTTGTGCGACAAGAATTGGAACGAAATAAAAAAGAAGTGAAGTGTGACAGAATGTTTGGTGGGGATTCAACAAGCAACACACTCCGTGCTTTCTGGGGCCCACTTAGGCGACAGAGGCGGCGGGCCGAGTGACGCGTGGCCCGGCGCTGGGTCTTTGCACGCCAGTGTGTGGCCCTCAGGCTGGGCCGCAGTGACAAGAAGAAGAGGAAAAAAGAAAAAAAAACTTGGGTGAGAGTGAGGAGGTGGTGCCCTCGCAATGGATCCAATCGACATTTGCGCCTTTTGTGTGCTGCACTTCCCGGGTGGCGGCCTCCCTCCCTTCCCCCCGCCTGCCCTTTTCGCTTGCGATCAAGTCGGCTTGCGGGCGTCATCGCCCCGTAAGCGGGGTGGGAGTGTGGAGCGGCGAGCGCTCCCACGCGTGCGCCTGCACGGGACAGAAAAGCAGCAAAAAGGAAAAAAAACGTAATATTAAAAAAAATACCATCAACGTTACTTCTTACTGCAGTGCGGTTGGGGGAGAAAAGGGGCAGGCACTAGGGAGAAGAAGGAGACTTCTGTGAGGATGGGCGGGTGGCGGCTCTTACGGCGTGCGTGAGAGGCAAGACGAGGGTTTCCGGGGCGCATTGACACGCCACGGACGGACTCGTGTTGCTGATGCCGCCCTCCTCGTCCGCACCCCACCCCATTTTCCCCTCCTATTTTCACCTCTTGTTGTTGTTGTTGTCAGGCTCCTCTCTCCTTCCAGGCCTTTTCTTTGCCCTCTGCGCCCCTCCCAGTCACTCCGTCTGCCGCACACACACACACACACACACACACTCGCGCGCCGCAGGGGATCTGCAGCGCAATTATATTTGCGGTGTGCGTGTGCGTGTGTTTTTTTTTCTGGGGGTGCTGAGCGTCCTACCGAAAGGGAATAAATAAAAAGGAGGTGAAGCAGAAGTCTCACTCCCTCTCTCTCCGTGTGTGTGCGTGAGTGGAGGAAGATACGGCGGGTGAGCCCTGTGCGAGGTCAATGGCGATCTTCACACGGGTCTTTACCATACACTTTGACGGCGGTGTGTACGAGGCCTCGACCGACTGCCGCGTCACCCGCACTTTGCGCGAACTCCTCGTCGCAACGCTGCCGCCCCCGCCCTCGCCGCTGCGGCACACGGCGGCCTGGGTGGACGGCTATGCGTGCTCCTTCGGCGGCCAGCGGTTGTCGCTTGCGGCGTCTACGGCGGTGGTGCCGACCACGTTGTATGTGACGTTGGCCGCACGCAATAGCCTGGATGGGGAGACGGTCGCTGCAGGAGGCGCAGACTCGTTGAAGCGGCGGCGGCCCGGCGGCGCAGGGAGGAGGGGAGCCAGCGCGAGCGAGGACGGCAACGGGGGCGAGGAGAGCAACAACAGCAGCGGCAGCAGCGAACGTAGTAGCAGCAGTGGCAGTAGCGGTGGGAGCGGAGAGGGCCCCGTCCGATGCCAGCGCCAGCCGTACTGGCACCCTCGTGGAGCGCAGAGCAATGGGGACAGGAACGACACCAATAACAGTAGCAACTACGAAGAGGAAGATGGGTATGACGAGGGTGAGGGAAGTGAGGAGGAAGACGTGCATGGTTCGTATAGGTCGCGCGACAGCAACAGCGTTGCAAGGGAGCGGGAACAAGCCGACAGTGAGGGCGGCAGCGACGACGACACGGTCAGTTGCGATGGCCGCCGGCGGGAGGCGGTGCTGCCCGTCGTTGTGGGCGGCGTTGTGCGTCTCATAAACATCGAAAGCCGCGACAAGAGTCACCAATGGACAGTGTACATCCGTGGCCTTTTTAACGAGACGGAGTACCTGGCGCAATGCATCGAGTCGGTGCGCTTCATCCTCGACCCCTCCTTCACACCGAGTGAGCGTGTTGTGCGGACGGCGCCGTTTGAGTTGACCGAGGTGGGCTGGGGCGAGTTTGTCGTCAAGATGCAGGTGCAACTGCGGCACTACCCGCGCCCCATTCGGGTGAGGCTCTCCTCCTCCGCATTCGCCGCAACGGCAAGCTGTGAATCGGAGATTAAGGTGGCGTCAACGTTCCTGGCGTTGCAGCCGATTGTGCCACTGTCGGGCCTCACACGCGGGCCCGTCTTGTCGCCTGTTGTGCATGTGCTCAGCCGGCACCGCTACCACAGTGAGACTGCGGTCGCGTCACCAGTGACCACGGCGGCCACGGTCTCCGGTGACGGCAGACGGGGCATCGTCAAGGCGGAGGTAAAGGTGGAGGAGGGTGGCGCAGGCAGTGATGCTAACGACAGGCCCCGTGGCGGTGACGCGCAGCCGAGCGAGGCCCGACCCCCCGGACAGCCGGCGCTCGCAACACTGGAAATGTCTCCAGGTGTTGTGACGCTTTCGCACCTGCTGCGCTTCTCGCACCGTCCCCGCCGTGCGCACTGCATTCCGCCCCTTGGCCGGCCCTATGAGCCGGAGGAGCACGTCGGGTACACCATCGTGCAGGCGCCGGTCGTGACGGAGCAATACGATGAGATTGTTGTGCCGGATCCACCCGCGCCCATGATGGAGGTGGCGGAGGCTTTGCCAAGCATGCTGCGCCGCCGCATCGCGACCGTCAAGACGGCCCGGACGATGGCGCAACAGCCACAGCAACGTCAGCAGAAACTTCTCGCCGGCGGCGCCGCCCCGTTGGGCGTTGCCGCGGCGTTCTCCGAGAACGGTGTCTCGTGCTGGGGGTACATTCTGCAGGAGGAGCCTGACGATGCGGTGCTGGCTGAGTCGTACCTTGAGAGTGTTGGGGCGACCTTGCCGTCTCCGGCCGGCACACAGCTCTCGAGCACCGATGCGTTTTTGTCCCCGCCCTACGGGGGGCCGCAAAAACAGGAACACGAACAACCACCGCTGTCACCCGCCTTCTACGGCGTCGACACCCCGATCGTCGTAAAGCCGCCGCGGGGGCGACGGAAACTCGCCGGCGCGGAGATGGACCTGTCGGCGCTAACGACAGCAAAGAAGGGTCTCGTGGAGGCCATTGAGAAGATGCGGCGTGAGTTGGTGCTGCGGCAGGCGGCGCAGACCTACCAGCACTACAGCTGAGCCGCGCGTGCCTTCCGCCCGTACAAGCAGGGGCGTGTCTCTCACAACCGGGGGCGCAGTCGCGTGCAGTGACTGCTACAAATGTGCCACTGAACTTGGCGGGCCGCGTCGTCGTCTCTCCCTCTCTGTCTCTCCGTACCCCTCTGAACTCACGTGATGGAGGTACTTTGCATGCATCCCTTTTTTTTTCTTTTTGTTGCCACCGCCTCTCCGGGTATCGGCGCTGACAACTGATTTTATTACTTTTTTATTTATTTTTTATTTTTATTTTTCCTTCCTTCCCGATGGGGGGTCTACGCAAGAGGGAAGAAGCGTGAATAAGGAACAACAACAAAAGTAACAGCAGCACCCAGAGTAGGCGACACGGAACCAACAACGCGTGTAAAACAGACGGAAAGTCACACACACACACACACACGCGTGTGCGTTCATTCATAAGAGCGTGTATATTGAGATGCCCACATTTCATGACGTGATGATGGCCTACAAGGCCACACGGCCCTACGTCCATGAGACGCCTGTGATCGCGAGCAACTCAATACAGCAGTTTTCCGGGCACGAGGTTGCGCTAAAGTGCGAGAATCTGCAGCGTACGGGAAGCTACAATCTTCGCGGTGGAATGAACTTTGTGATTCGCACCAAACTGCTGGACCTTAGCATCAACCACTTTGTGGCGCAGAGCACCGGCAACCTTGGGCTTGCGGTCGCCCTCGCCGCCAGCTCATTTTCTGCGACGGGGCACATTGTGATACCTAAGCGGGCCAATGACGTCGTCGTGCACTCCATTGCCCACTACAGTGGGAAGGTCTACCGCTGCGGCGACGCACGAGATGAGCAGATGAAACTCACGCAAAAGCTTGTAAGTGACAACAATAATACCAGCAAAAAGAATGGGGTAAACGCCTGTGTCTTTGTTCACCCACAGGATGACTGGTTGATCGCGGGTTACGGAACGCTGGGGGTGGAGTTAATGCTGCAGACCGACGGCCGCCTCGATGCCGTGGTGGTGCCGGCGAGCGAGGGAGCACTTTTGGCGGGTGTCGCCCTCGCGGTGAAGGGCATGAAGCCGAACGTCGCCGTCTTCGCCGCCGAATGTGACGCACGAGATCCCAACAGCGACTTCGAGGACGGGCCTGTCGTTGCCGTCAACAAGGGGGAAGGCGGCGGCGACCAGGACCACAGCACGCAGCACGCCAACAACGCCGTCGATGTGGCGCGCCAGCTGCGCACGCCGTTAAACGCCACGGCCGCAAAATGTGTAAATAAATACGTGGACGGTGTGATCAAGGTGACGGAGAGGCAAAAGCGTGACGCTTTCCGCTTTGTGTATGAGCGCTGCAAGCTGGTGGTCGACGATAGTGCAGCAACAGCCGTGGCTGCCGTTTTGACGCGGCCGGCGTCCTTGTCGCAGTACGATCACATTGGTATCGTGTTGGCAGGCGGCAATGTCGACCTCGACGACATCCCGCGGCTGGCGCGGCTCTGATGCTTCCAGCGGCCAGCAGCAACAAGTGTGGGCGGTGACGTGGCGCGGGTTGTTTTTGCCTAAAAAGGTCCACGACAAAACTTTAAAACGAGAAAAAAAAAGAGATTTTCTCCTACTTTTTTTTTGAACTCTTCGTGGTCTTTCACCAATTGCGGCTTTTTTACTCCTTTCCGTTGCTTCGCGTTGCACCGCGGCGAAAGGGGACACGTTGTGGCGGTGGGTGGGGTGAAGAAGAGCAAAACAGGTATAAAACAACCCCCGCAATGAGAGGGGTGCGGGGGACACGTTTGTAATGAAGTTTATGGAGCGAGTCTGCGACCGGGCGGGGCGAGGCAACTGCGTGGGTGACATGCTCGCTAACTCTGTTTCCTTCCCCATAATCTTCTTTGCCCCTTGTCATCCTCAACGGCCGCCGCTTTCTGAGTCCACCGCGGCGGCCGAGTTCGCACAAGGCGACGAGTGAGCGCAGCGGTTGACGGGTGTGCGGGGGTGGGGGGGGTGAGCGA